AATTAATTTGTCCATTGCTTTGAAATCATCATATAACTCAACCAATCAATCAAACATCAAGTATAAATAAAAATATGAACAAGTGCATGCCAAGTCAAATCACATATTACACACCAATATTTACAAATTTCGTCTCCAATGTATAAATATATAAATATTATGTAATTTAACAATGGTTAACTACAACATTTATAAAGGTTAATAGTTGTAATTGTGTCCCATAAAAATTTAATTGATTTGGTTCTTAATTATTCATATTGAAAAACAGGATTATTTAAAAATATTGAATATTTTTGGACTAAACGCACAATTTTATAATAGTTAGGGAATAAAAGTGTAATATTAACTGGTGGGTTAATGTTACGATCGGTCACTAGTGGGTTATGGTCGGTTCTGATTTAACAATGGGTTAATCACACTTTTATCTTCTAACTAACAAATTTTGTCAGTTTCATCCATAAATATTTAATTTTTTTATTTTATCCCCTAAATTTTTTTTTTTGTAATTTAACAAATTCGGACCGACCATAAGTCCTAATTTAATGTTCATAACACTTTTATCCCCTAAAATATCAATTGTTTACTCAATAAAAAAAACCAAAAAAATTAGGACCGACTATAAATATCTAAATATTATCTAATTTAACAATGGTTAATTATAATTTTATCATCTAAGTTCTATTTTTGTCAATTTCATCCAGGATACCACAAATATTCATAATTTAACAATAGTTAATTACACTTTAATTTTTGTCCCAAGAATAAAAACGGCCGAGCTAATCAATTTTGCCAGTTTTATCCCAAAATATTCAATTTTTTTTTATTTTATCCCCTAAAATTTTATTCTTAATGTCCTTTATCACATAAAACCCAAAATTGTATTTTAACATGACCGACCCCCCATAACTCTGGTTAATTTCAACATTTGTAAAGGTTAATAGTTGTAATTTTTTCATTTTATAATTTTTCCCACAAAATTTTAATTTCTTTGGTTCTTAATTATTCCTATTGAAAAGGGGACTATTTAAAAATATTTAATATTTTTGGACTAAACTCACAAAATTTTTGATAGTTAGCAAATAAAAGTATAATATTAACCTATTTAAATTAGGATTGGTCGCCAATGGGTTATGATCGAACGCCACTAGGTTACGGTCGGTTCTAATTATTCTTTGGTTACAACTTTTTTGTACAAGAATAAATTACGACCAACCGTCGCTAGTGGCGACCGACCCTAATTTAATAATAATACTTTAATGCTCTAAATATCAATTTTGTCGGTTTCATCTTAAAAATATTCAGTTTATGAAATTAAAACTAAACTAACATACAATTTCATCCAATTAACATTCAATTCATTAAAATGCGTTGATTTCAGGACAAATGCCGTTGTCTGAGTTTGGCCATTTTGTAGACCACATTATTTTAAGTGCAAAGAATTTTATTGGTTTCACAACTGCCTGGGTACATAGGGATGGAAATTCTAGTGCTCATTGCCTAGCTAAATATGTCGTCTCTTGTTCAGATCTTTGTATTTGGAGGAATGAGTGTCCCAATTTTTTGTTAACTCCCTTCCACAATGATGTAACTCCTTTGCATTAATAAAATTCTGTTATCGTTTCTTCTCAAAAAAAAAAAAAAAACAAAAAACATTCATTTCATCAAATAAAAATTCAGTTCATCAAATAGTTAACATTAAATTAATTAAAAGACGATCTACTGTGAATGGTCATTGAGTTCTTCGATTGATTGAGTTCTTCAACCAATTGAGTTCTTCGACGATCGACTGTGAATGCTCTGAGGTGCCCTAATTTGATTGATTGAAAGACGATCGACTGTGAATGGTCATGACCTGCCCTAATTTTGTAAAGGTTAGTTTTAATTTTATAATTTTGCCCAATAAAATTTTCATTGGATTTGGTCCGTAATTATTCTTTAATGTCCTCTGAAAAATAGGGCTATTTAAAAATATTGAATATTTTTAGATGAAATTGAGAAAATTAATAGTTAGAGGTTGAAAGTATTATTAATCCATTGACAAATTACGATTGGTCGCCACTAGTTACGGTCAATCGTAATTTATTTATTATGTTACAACTTTTTTTCGTTGGTTACAATCTTTTAGGATTTCAACTATTTTGGATGAGTTCCAACTTTTCTGGGGTAAGTTCTAATTTTTTTTGGTTGGTTTACAATTTTGTAGTGGGATTACAACTTTCTCTAGTAGGGTTGCAACTTTTCTGAATTAGGTTTCAACTTTTGCATGAGGTTAAAATTTTTCTAGATTGGGTTACAATTTTTTGGGGATTGAGTTCCAACCTTTTGGGGTGGGTTCCAATTTTTTTGGATTGGTTTACAACTTTTCTAGTGTGAGTTGTAATTTTTTTGGATTGGATTCCAACTTTGTGAGTGGAGGGTGAAGTTATTACTTTTTTTAGTATGGGTTACAATCTTTGGGGGTGGATTCCTACTTTTCTAGAATGCTATTGATTACAACGTATTGAGAGGGTGTTATAACTTTTCTGGGTATGTTACAACTTTTGAAGTTGAATTACAATCTTTTTGAGGTTATAATTTTTTGGGTTGGAATACAGCCTTTTGGGTGGATACACATTTTTGGGATTATAACTTTTTCGGTTCCAATATATATTGATTGCACCAATCTTATAATTTTTTTAGTGGATACATATAATGTAAGAAACACCACTTATATTTTGATACCACATCAAAAAGTAAGTTGACAGTTCTGAAATATAATTCGGAATAGAATGATTATAGGCTTCTTGACTTCTCTAAGTTACAGGATAAGAAAGCAGCACACTGACCGCAGTGCGCATAATTCAGTGAAGATTCCTCACCTATGGTTTTCACGCGTAAAAGATATGTTACGTTTCAACAACATTAGCTAATTATAGGCTTCTTAACTTCTCTTAGTTATAGGATACGAAAGCAGCCCACAGACTGCAGTGCGCATAATTCAGTGAAGATTTCTCACCTATGGTTTTCGCGCGTAATAGATAAGTTACGTTTCAACAACATTGGCTATAATTTAATTGAAACCAAATTATGATTTAAAAAAATTAGTTATAACTAAATCCAATTAAGTTATTGTTTACACCTAAAATAATAAGATCTAAGAGTGATACTTAGAAGCAATCTAATGGTCATAAAAGAGTTTATGAGAGTATATACTTGACAGCGTCGTTAAGGAAGTGAGATTTTAAGAATCCCAAGAAATAACGAAATATGATATCATGAACCCTAAGTTAAAGACAGTTCGGTACACGTCTGCACATTTTGAGGGAAGATGTCATGATTACAGTAATGGCCAAAAAAAAGATGGCTTCGAGGATTAAGAGTCATTTTCCATAAATAATAAAGACAAGGCCACATAAGAGGGATACTTGATCAACACAGAGCCAACCTCTCTACTACTTAGTTTATGTCCCAGCAATCTTACTTTAGCTTATAATCCATCACTCCGCATTCTTGTTGTTATTCTACATTATAGTCCATTACGTTATAAGTTAGGAAATTATTTAATTCCTTGATCCCCAAGACATTAAAAATAGCTCATAGATAATTTTACGTCTTGTTACAATCTCCTAAACAATAACGATAAAATAACCTCACACCGATTCGAATAAAGTCATACTTATTAGAATCTTAAGTTCAGTTAGATTTTAGCATGCCCACAATCCAAAAATAAGCCAGACAAATAAGATTTAAATAATTATGATTGATTTTCAAAACCAGGTTGGCTTCAAGCAACCCTATTTTTCATAATTTTACCCCATTGAATTATTACTTTTAATACCAAAAATTTATCACCGGACTGATGGTCTAGTGGCTTGCAGTACCCTATGTGGGGTCCTCCCTAACTCTCAGCAGATTATTAAGTAAGGGTCGATTCACGGAAACTCTAGCTACTTCCACTGACAGCTCTATAGTGCAGGGAGTTAAGTTATTACTCGAGTCTGCCTATGAAAGTTTCTGCTGTTTTTCGCCATCAAGGCCGAAATGGTGGGCTTCCCTCGCGGGTTTGGGATGCTGTGGCATGTTCAGGAACGGGTTTCACTCCAGATGCCCCCTCGAACTTTTTTTTATTGAAAAAAGAATTACCAAAAAATAACTCTCTATTCCCATATTCTTTCACGTCAAAGCAGTGGCAGGGTTCTTTATTTCCATTTCTCAGCAACTTCTTGTTTTGATGAAATTTTTTAGCATCTCTAATTTCCAAGGAAGTTGCGTCCTCTTTCCCACCTGTACGCACCTATAAGTAATGTCATCTCCCCAATACAAATGTACTTCAGTGTCATTTGCTGATTTTTTCATCAAAGCATATGAAAGAAAAATGACAGGCAGTAAAAAGTCCGCTGCAGCCACACATAAAGGTTGGTTTCTAATACTCTCTCTCTCTTTCTCTCTCCTTCTCTCCCACGGCTTCAAAACTTGAGAAGTTTGATTTTCCTTATCTCTATCCTTTCCCTTACTTTAACTATAATTTTGATCTCACTTTGTCCTTTAAACTATTTAGTTTCTTAAATTACGCCCTTAACTTAGTTAATTAGTTTCACATTGTCTCAAAATTAAACATTTATTATATTTTGAGTGAATGTCATAGTAAAATACACGTTTTCATTGTTGCAATTGGATCATTGTAAAATCAATAATCAAATTTGGAGGTGCAATATAAGCAATATGCCAATTGAGGGGCAGTGTGAAACTAATAACCATAATTGAATATGCAATTTGAGAAACATATAGTTAAGGACATAATATGAAATAAGCGAAATTGTGGATTAAAGTATAATTTGTCTCAAGGACTTATTATGAAACACTAATTTGCAAGTAATTAAAAAAACAAAAAAGAGTGGGAAATCACATTGGCATTTGTTTTTGCTTAAGTGACTAATTACATAACTTAGTTTAGCTAATGCGTACTCTTTTGGTCCCTTCGGTTTTTGATGAATGTAATTTGTGATGTTCTTTTGTTCAAGGACGACATTTTTGCTGAGTTGGATCTTCTTGATCAATCCACTCCACCAGAACGATCTGAATATAGCGGTCTTGATGCTGGAAAATTCTGTAGCCATTCTAATTCTTTCAATCGGGCTATCGAGGTTGAACCATCAACAGGGGCTCCATTTTATGGGGACCAAGTTGTGGCTCCCTCGATCCCCTTAGGTCCTAGGATTGGGCTTGAAGTGTAATTCTATGTGATTTCTCTTGGTGCGAGGTTAGTTATCTTTACAATAAATAAATATATATATATTAGTTACAGTCTTCAACAATCTTAACTTGACATGCATATCTTATTTTTTTTCCGCGGGGGTGGAAAATGTTAGACTAAAACAGATTTTAATGATTAACATTTGATTTTTAATTGACTTTTAGTCTAAATTAAAGTGAGATCCACTTGTTGTTTCCAGTAAATTTCCGTGGGTTCGTGTTCTACTTTGTGATAAGAATAACGTAGTTCATTTGCTCAAATCGAGGAGGAAATGAAAGAAAAATAAGTTCTAAAGTAAGATTTGTGGAAATAGAGGTTGTACAATGTGAGATTGGTATCAAATCCCACATTGATTGAGTAAAAAATTTTACATAGGTATATATAGACCAAGTTTACTCTATGAGATTGGACCCCAAAGGATACCACAATTTATGAGTAGGGCGAGTGCACTTAGGGGTGTTCACTCTACCCGATGGATAAGAATTATAACATTCCATCTTCTTAATCGTTACTTTGCAGAAGAATTTTTTCTTGATCTATCCTACTTGATCAAGTGTATTATTCCTACCTGAATTCCGTCCAAAACAATTGGGTGACAAATATTTTTTAATTATTAATTTTGGATCATTTTAACAATTTAATCAATTAACCTGCACTAATTAACTAACACAATAAACTAACAACACTAAAGAAATACAATAAATTCGATAATACATAAACAATTACAATAAAACACAATAAGAAAGTCATCAACATCAATACATCATATATAAAAAGTCATAAACATCAACAAAACATTAGGTTTCCTAGATTTTTGGATTTTAATTTTTAGGAATTAACACACACATATATATTTTAAATGTTAACATATATGTATACGGGTAGGATAGGATATAAATATTAAAATTTTGTATGTATTTCGCATTCATACCTGATTTTTTACGGAATACTAAAAGATCTTCCGTTAGCATACTCGATTCTTTCAAATAATCGATCAGTGAAATTGGGTAGGATCTAAATTTGCGAATAATCGAAATTTTGAAAACCCCAAGTGCCTACATGTCTTTGGTTCAATTACACGCGTATGCCACCCACCTAGCCTCAATCCGACCAGGCGAGGCATGGTTTAGCCCAAGCCCTATGTTTTCGGAGAAAATTCGTTTAACGAATTGGGCATAAATTTCTAAAATCCAGAATTTAATTTTGATACCCGTTGAATTTAAAATTCGTATTGAATTGGATTAGTGTTCCCTTCACTTCCAAATTTAAGTTGCATCTGTTCAAGAACGAACAGTTATTCAAATGGTGTCTTTTGACTGCAAGTTTCGGGGTTGCATCCGTTCGACATGGTAACTGTCTGGGACAGGCACCATTCTTTCTATAAATAACCCAGTCATATAATCATTTTGCGTCCAATAAATTTCATAGTCATTAAGACAGTCTTATACATCATTAGAAGTTTGCATTTGAGAGTAAACAACAAAGTTTTAGTTCACTGGAGTAGTAAATTGGAGTGCTACTTCTATTCGTGCGAAGATCATTTTATCCTAGGAGGTAAATGCTTTGATTTCCATAAACACCAAGTGTGGGGGTGAAATTTGTATTAAAGATATAGTGTCAAACACTAGCTTTGATCTATTAAAGTTCAATAACAGACAGTTGTTTAATTATAGATTTTATGTGATATTGTTCAGTTGTTTAATTACAGATTTTATGTGATATTGTTTCGTTCTTACTTGTAACTATTTCGTTCTTGACTATTAATGTTTTATTCTAATGGCATGATACAAATCAGAAATCTCAATAAGTGATTTTACTATATTTGGAATACCACAAACAACAATCTAAAGATAGATTCCTATTTGAATAATTATTTGTTGTATTTCTGATTGATGTTATTAATATTTTAAATTGATTTAAAATATTGCAAAGTGTTATAACTTGTTTCTTACAGTCTGTAATATTTTTGGGATACTTGAAAAGGTTTGTGAAAAGTTGTATGTTCTTTTTATGTGTTTAATTCAAATAGTTACGCTAAATAGTTATACAAAATAGTGACTATATTTATGTGTATAATTTCAACAGTTGCACCATACAGTAACGTTAAAACAGTGACACAAAATAGTGACATTGAACAGTAACATAAATTGTCTTTATTTTAGTAACTTGTTTTCTAAACTGTTACTATTTTCTTATTGTAGAATATTTAGTAATTTTGTTTATTAGAAATGACTGCAAATAATAATAATGTTTCTACTACTACAAATCCTGTGGTGCCTATTTCTATACCTACTCATGTGTCTCATGGGTAGAAGTCTAAAAAGTGCAATGTGAACGATTTCAAGAGATGACAACAAAAAATGTTGTTCTATCTGAGTACGTTGAATCTTACAAAGTTTCTTCGTGAGGATGCTTCTGTTTCTAGTTAGAATGAGATTGACTGCTAAGTTTTTGTTATGGTGGATTCACAGAAGCTCTCTGATTTTTTGTGTTAGAACTATATCTTCAATGGATTGGATAACACATTATATAATATGTATAATCCAATCAAGACGGCTAGAAAGCTGTTGGAATCCTTGGATAAAAAGTACAAAATGGAGGATGCCGGTATGAAAAAATTCATTGTGGGTAGATTCCTTGACTACAAAATAGTGGATTTCAAGACTATCATAAGTCAAGTTCAAGATTTTCAAGTGATTCTACATGAGATGCATGCCGAAGAGATGGTACTTAGTGAATCTTTTTAAGTGGCTGCAATTATTGAGAAATTACCACCACATTGGAAGGACTTTACAAATTATTTAAACCATAAACGCAAAAAAAATTAAACTTAAAGACTTGATCATGAGATTGAGGATTGAGGAAGATAATAGAGTCTCCAAAAAGAAAGTTGGTAATCATTCCAAAGAGTTAAAGGCACACGTGATTGAAGAGGGACATAAAACCAACAAGAAAATGAAGTATGTTGGCCAAAAAAATGAAACGTAAAGACTTGATCATGAGATTGAGGATTGAGGAAGATAATAGAGTCTCCAAAAAGGAAGTTGGTAATCATTCCATGGAGTCAAAGACACAAGTGATTGAAGAGAGACATAAAACCAACAAGAAAAGGAAGTATGTTGGCCAACATGGGGCCAAGGGTGGTCATTACAAAAGGTTCAAAAGCAACTGCCTTATATGTAACAAACCGGGGCATCGTGCATAAGATTTTTGAAGCCATAAAGTATAAGAGAACCTCAAGATTAAAGCTACTCAATCCAATATAACCGAGGTAGAAAAAATTTCTAAAAATATTTATAACATGAGTTTTTCTATTGTAGTATTCAAAGTGAATTTGGTGGAAAATACCAAGCGATGGTGGGTGGATTGCTTGATGGTTATATTCCCTAACATCCCACACGAACCCGATTCTTTGTGTGTACGGCTTACAATGTTTGGCAAGTGTCACTTTCCCTCGAGTTCAATGCAAGAAGTGGGGAAAAATATGTGTGGATGAACAAAAACGTGTGTGTGTGCAAAAATGCTCCCCAAGCGTAGAGAGACTTGCAATGTCATATTTTACTTGGAATGAGTATTTCAAGGTCGTCTACTCAGGGAATGCAAGGTCGGGTGTTTTTAAAGAGTGATTTGTGAAAAAGTGAAAATTGAAAAATCTTGTGATTTAAAATTTGTTGAGTTATGAGTTAAGAAATATACAAGAAAACAAGGTTGGCTAATCCATAGAGGTCATTCCAATGAGAATGCCAAATCGACTCATTTCATTTAACCAATGATGTCTCGGTATTTGATTGATTTGTAGGAAGTGAGGGACAAATGTGGTCGCATTGGACCAAAACACACCCTGTGACAAGTCTACGGTATAACGAAAGTGCACAACCAAGTCCGCACTCTACTTATTCAAACCAAAGAATTTAACCAATGATGTCTTGGTATTTGATTGATTTGTAGGAAGTGAGGGACAAATGTGGTCACATTGGACCAAAACACACCCTGTGACAAGTCTACGGTATAACGAAAGTGCACAACCAAGTCCGCACTCTACTTATTCAAACCAAAGAATTTAACCAATGATGTCTTGGTATTTGATTGATTTGTAGGAAGTGAGGGACAAATGTGGTCACATTGGACCAAAACACACCCTGTGACAAGTCTACGGTATAACGAAAGTGCACAACCAAGTCCGCACTCTACTTATTCAAACCAAAGAATTTAACCAATGATGTCTTGGTATTTGATTGATTTGTAGGAAGTGAGGGACAAATGTGGTCACATTGGACCAAAACACACCCTGTGACAAGTCTACGGTATAACGAAAGTGCACAACCACGTCCGCACTCTACCTATTCAAACCAAAGAATTTACACTATGAGGAAGAATGAAATAGAGTTAATTTCATATACCCGAAACGAAATCCTTCTTAGATTAGCCAACTAAAGTTTAGCTATGCATGATAAAAGAAAGAACAAACATGGTAGTGAAATGAAACATAGAATTTTATTAATGTAGAAGAAATTTTAAACTATAAAAGACAAACTATTCATACCTAAAATGCAAAACTTGAAGGAAATAAAACCCAAATGTAGAAATGAACTACAAGAAACTTAGCTAAGCTTAATTATAATTTGAATGCAAGAGAAATGTTACTAGTTAAATGAGCTCTACTACAATGAAAATATAAAACCTAGCTTTCACTCTCTAGAACTTCATCTTCTACATTGGACCTTCTTTCTCTAAAAGTATTATCTTCTAAAATTGTTTGTAAGAGCCCCCTATTTTCGTCCAGCCCTCTCTCTATTAGCATGAGTGATTGACATGGAGTGATTGGAGAGAGGCTTTCCACCAAAACACATAAAGTTAGTCAAAGCATGGTCCTCCCAAGCTTTTCCAACCACTCCCTCTCTCTCTTGCCTTCCCACTCTCTCATGCTTCCAATTTGAATGTAGGGGTTAGGAGATCATCATGGGGTGTTAGAAAAT